TTAAATAACATAACCTTTTGATCGACAAAAAATGTTTTAAAAGAAAATCGATTATCATGATTTTTTTTCTTTAAATATTCTAGCACTGTCATCAGTATTTTTTGGGATTTCCTCAAGTTCTTGAATATGTTTTAAAAAATGTTACATTGTTTAACATCCCAATAAACCCAATGTTCTAACTCAACGGTAAATGGCATGGTTTACCAAAAACAAGTCGGTATGGTGACATCCCAATAGGACCTTTATAAGTTGATCCATATGCCCAAAGTGCATAAGTTAATTTTAAACTCCAATCCTTTTGGTCTAATTTAACATTTTTTCAAGAATTGTTTTAATTTCCTGATTCAATACTTCTGCATGTCCATTTGTTTGTGAATAGTAAGTGGTAGCAATTCTTTGAGTTACTCTAAATTTCTTCATTAGTGACTCGATTACTCGGTTAATGAAGTAAGTTCCTCTATCACTTATTATAGCCAATTGCGTGCCAAACCTGGAAAAATAGATTGTTTCAAAAAATTAATTGTAGTTTTAGCATTATTATTCCGAGTGACCTTAGCTTCCATCCATTTAGAAACATAATTTACAGCTAAAATAATATAGTATTTATAAATGATGAAATAAAATGACCCATATAATCGATTTCCCAAACATAAAAATTTCACAAACTTGTACTCGATTTAGTGACATCTCGTTTCTACGGCTTAAATTACCTGTAAGTTGTCATCTTTCATAAGTTTTACATAACAAATAAGAATCCTTAAAGATGTGAGGTCAAAAGAAACCACATTCAAGAATTTTATGAGTTGTACGTTTTGGCACAAAATGACCGCCACAAGAGTAAGAGTGACAAAATTGTAAAATTGAATTTACCTCATTTTCAGCAATACATCATCGAATTACCTGATCCAAGTAGTGCTTCCATAAATAAGGATCATCCCAAATATAATATTGGGATTCTCGCTTAATTCGATTGATTTCAGCTCTCGACAAATCTAAGGGTAACATACATGTGCCAAATAATTAACCAAATCTGCAAACCATGGAGTTATGTTTTGCGCCACCATTAGTTTTTCTTCAGGAAATTCTTCTCTTAGTGGTGGGTCAGATGTGGAAATGGGAACTTGAATCATGTGATCCGCTACCAGATTTTCGCATCCATTTTTGTCTTTTATTTCCAAGTTAAACTCTTGTAAAAGCAGGATCCATCAGATAAGCCTCAGTTTTTCTTTTTTTTTTCTTATCAAATACCTTAAAGATGCATGATCAGAAAAAGTAAAAATTATAGCAAAAAGTTCTTTTTCTGTAGTTGAATAATTTTTCTAAGCTGAGTCCAAAGTTTGGGATGCATAGGCTATGCCATGTGGATCTTTCCCTATTTTTTGTCCGAGAATCCGATGCATCACACATAAGTTCAAAAGGGTAATTTCAATCTGGTGACTGAACTATTGGGTTGTAATAAGCTTTTCCTTTAATGAATCGAAAGAATCCTTGCATTTTGAATCAAAATCAAAGTCTTGATACTTTTGGAGAAGATTGCATAAAGGTTGTGTTATCTTCGAAAAGTCTTTAATAAACCTGCGGTAAAATCCTACATGGCCAAGAAAAGAACGAATTTCCCTCACAATTGTGGGGTAAGGAAGTGAGCGTATAATATCTGTTTTAGCTTTATCAGCCATAATCCCTTTTGAGGAAACAATATGATCTAAAATTAACCCTTTATCAACCATAAAATGGCATTTTTCATAGTTTAAAACAAGGTTCTAAGCATCTTTTAAGCACATTAGTTAAATTATCAAGACATTCACTAAAAGAATTACCATAAACCGTGAAGTCATCCATAAAGACTTTGATGACATTCTCCATATAGTCAGAAAATATACTCAACATGCATCTTTGGAAGGTGGTGGTGCATTACAAAGGCCAAATGCAGTTGTCTATATGCAAATGTACCGAAGGGACAAGTAAAAGTCATTTTTTCTTGATCTTCTAGCGCTACTGGATTTGGAAAAAACCTGAAAACCCATCAAGACAACAATAATTAGTTTTTCCAGCTAATCTTTCAATCATTTGGTCTATAAAGGGAAGAGGAAAATGATCTTTTCGAGTAATAGAGTTCAACTTCCTGTAATCAATGCAGACTCACCATCCATTTTGAACTCTTGTTGGCACTAATTCCCCTTCTTGATTTTCGACCACTGTGACTCCCGTTTTCTTGGGAATTACATGAATCGAACTTACCCAATTACTATCCTATATCAGATAGATTATGTCAGCATCAACAAGTTTTTTAATTTCTTTCTTTACTACTTCCATCATTGGTTGTTTAATCAGTGTTCTCCTTCTCGTGATGGCTTTGCTCCTTCTTCAATTTTGATCTTGTGCATGCAAGTTGAGAGACTTAATCATTTAATGTCAACATTGGTCCATCCTATAGCTTCTTTGTGCGAACGCAACACCGCTACCAAAGCTTCCTCTTCTCTTTTGAATAATTTACTTGAGATGATCACTAGTAAGGTTTCATTTTCACCTAAAAATGCATACTTCAAGTATTCCGGTTGTCGACACTGTTTTTCACCCGGGCGGGAAAGACCGATACCGACTCGGGGGTTTTCTCTTTGAAAATAGTTTCGATTTGTGAGGAGTCGCCACCAATCATTTAAGGTGAGATTGAAACACTGAAAAAACTAGGTGATTTTAACAAAACATTTTATTTTAATAAAACATTTTATTTTAATAAAATATCGAGTTTTGGGGTATGCAAAAATCCAAAAATTAGGTTTGGGAGTCAGTTACGCGTGGGGAAGGATTAGCACCCCCACAAGCGCCCAAAAATTGGTACCTAGTTGATTACCCTATATTTAAAATCGAAAATTTTGAGTTCGATCTTTATTTAATTTAAAAATCATTAAGGATGAAAAGTTTGAAAAGGATATTCGTTTATTGAGACTGATAGCATTCGCCCCCGAGCGTAAATGCAGGAGATCTATCGTGCCTAATAACTGAACATTGCCTCATTTTTAGAAAATATGATGCGGTTTTGAAAAGGATGTCGACTTATTTAGGGAATTACCAGTAGTCACCCCCTGAGCACAATCGCGGGAGATGTACTATTAATTCCTTAATAAGTGAACATTGCCTTAAGTTTTAAAAACAATGCAATCAAGCAAAATTTTATTTAATCCTAATTATACTAAAAATAAATTAAGGCTTTTTCTAACCTACGATGTCAAATTATGAAAATTAAAGAACCTAGAGACTCAAGCCTAAGAACGTAGGCTCTAGTATTAATCCTATTTGATTTTAAAAAATTATTAAATCAAATAACTGAGATGGTCCCTCGAGAGTTTACGTGAGGGCCAACTCGAATTATCCCCTAAATTAAAGACTAGTTTGAAATCTAACCTAAAATGGAGGCTCTATTTAACATATTTAATTATGTCAATATTAAATGTCTAAACGTAGTTCGGGGAATAAACATGTCAAATAATTTAAATATTGGACCTAAAAGATTTAAAAGTCTAAGGTTATTTTTAAACAGAATAAAATATGATACATTGATATATTTAAAAAAATAAATACACACATTAAGGTTAATTTTAACTTTTTTTACTTTATAAATAGATACATATTTTCTAAATATGATATTAAACGTATGACATAATATTTATTCTAAAATATAATGAAAATATAAAATATAATATTTATCGTGCTCTATATACAATATTATGTATATAATAAAGTAATATATAATAATATAAGTAAAATAAATACCTAAAACATAAAACATACTTTAATAGTACAAATAAACAATATACATATATATTCATTAATATCTTAGTGACAAAAATCAGTGAAAAATAATTTTAAATTATAAACATTAATAAAAATAAATATCATGGCATGAAACAAGAAAATCACATAACAGGAGCACTAGAATCGTAATAAAATAATAAATATAGGACTAAAATGGAATAGCATAAACATCAGTACCCCATTTCGAATACAAATAATACATACAATAGTGGACTAAATTAAAATAGTACAAAACAAAGTAGCCAATTCGTAAATCATGTAAAAAAAATGGTGACCAAAACACAAAAAATGCTAAACTTGAAGGGACTAAGGCACGATTAACTATAAAATGACTAAAACGCGGATCACATTAAACTTAAAGGACCAATAAAGTGATTTAACCTAAAACTAGTGATCTAAATGCAAAACACGCTAAAACTATGAGGACATATTATGATATTTACCCTAACACTTAAACTAAAACATGAAACATATTAAAAATGGATGACTTGACACGTGATTAAACCAAAACCCAAAATAACTTTACTTTTTCCCCTCCCAGAATCATTTCTGCGCATTGGTTTTCCATTTTCCTCTCTTCTCTTTATTATTTCTCTCAACTTTCTCCCTTTTTTTATTTCATTTTTACTTCGTGGAATAAACGATCGGTGGCCATGAACTACCATGGCCACCACTGCGAACCACCCCGATCGACACTCTTCTAAGGTAATAATCTACTCACTCTCTTTCCTTCTTATTTTACATGCAAAGCTTCAAAAAACATATTAGATTCGAAACTAAAAAAAATATTCAAAATACCTTGGAATAATCTGATTTTTATTTCTTTTCTCTCTGATTCTAAATTATTTTAGTATTTTCTCGTAATAGCATAGAGTAAAAAAATCAGTATTTGAATACGAAAATAAAAAATTTACCCTTAAAATTCTTGTATTTCTCTAGAAAAATCAGAGAGAAAATTCTCCCTTTTTTGATTACATGCGTTCGGCTTTTATAGCCAGATTTACAATGATTTTTCAAATTGCATGAGTAGTTGGTTACGCCTTAATTCTCGCAGGGAACAAGGGATGATGGGGTTGGTGTTGAAAATGGTGTGGTGGGTATTGATGTTGAAAAATGAGATGGTGGGTGTTGATGTTTGAAAAATGGTGTTTACAGCTGCCCCTCTTTGCTCATTGCTGTGAAACAAGAATGGAGCAAAGATAATAAATCACCATTTTTTTATCTTGGTCTCTTCTTGTCACGTTGCGAACTCTTCACTGGGGAATGTTAATTATCTCATGTGAAATCATCGATTCTTTGTTGCAAATGATTTCATATTTGCTTCGTTTTCTTGGCTGAGTCTTCATCTTCAGTTCTTCTAATCATGGGTTCTTCTCTTCCTGGTCTTTTCACTAAAATGTTGATCCCTCCAGAGAGGTGTTGTTGATTAAACTCCATATGTGATTAATCGAGCAAGAAGTTGACGCTGATCCAACTCCTTCTGCGATGATTTGAGTGAAAATAAAAATGTTGATCCACCTCTTTCTGTGATGGAAATCGAACGCTATATCGATGTTGATCTACCTCCTTCTGTGATAGAATCGAGCTAAAAGTTAACGATGATCCAACTCCTTTTGCGATGGATTTGAGCGAAAATAAAAATATCGATCCTCCTTCTGTGATGGAAATTGAAAATATGTCGATGCTGATCTACCTCATTCTGTGATAGAATCGAGCTAAAAGTTGACGCTGATTCAACTCATTCTGCGATGGATTTGAGCGAAAATAAAAATGTTGATCCACCTCCTTCTGTGATGGAAATCGAACGATATGTCGATGATGATCTACCTTCTTCTGTGATAAATCGAGCTAAAAGTTGACGCTGAACCAACTCCTTCTGCGATGGATTTGAGCGAAGATAAAAATGTCGATCCACCTCCTTTTGTGATGGAATCGAACGAGATGTCGATGCTGATCTACATCCTTCTATGATAGAATCGAGCAAAAAGTTAACGCTGATCCAACTCCTTCTGCGATGGATTTGAGCGAAGATAAAAATGTCAATCCACCTCATTCTGTGATGAAATCGAATGAGATGTCGATGCTGATCTACCTCCTTCTGTGATAGAAACGAGCTAAAAGTTGACGCTCATCCAACTCCTTCTGCGATAGATTTGAGCGAAGATAAAAATGTCGATCCACCTCCTTCTGTGACGGAATCGAATGAAATGTTGGTGTTGATCTACCTCTTTCTATGATAAAATCGAGCAAAAAGTTGACGCTGATCCAACTCCTTCTGCAATGGATTTGAGCGAAGATAAAAATGTCGATCCATCTCCTTCTGTGATGGAAATCGAACGATATGTCAATGTTGGTCTACCTCCTTATGTGATAGAATCGAGCTAAAAGTTGACGTTGATCAAACTATTTCTGCGATGGATTTGAGCGAAGATAAAAATGTCGATCCACCTCCTTCTGTGATGAAATCGAACGAAATGTCGATGCTGATCTACCTCATTCTGTGATAGAAACGAGCAAAAAGTTGATGCTGATCTAACTCCTTATGCGATGGATTTGAGCGAAATAAAAATGTCGATCCACCTCCTTCTGTTATGAAATCGAATGAGATGTTGATGTTGATCTACCTCCTTCTATGATAGAATCGAGCAAAAAATTGATGCTGATCCAACTCCTTCTGTGATGGATTTGAGCGAAATAAAAATGTCGATCCACCTCTTTCTGTGATGGAATCGAACGAGATGTTGATGCTGATCTACCTCCTTCTATGATAGAATCGAGCAAAAATTAACGCTGATCCAACTCCTTCTGCGATGGATTTGAGCGAAATAAAAATGTCGATCCACCTCCTTCTGTGATGGAATAGAACGAGATGTCGATGCTGATCTACCTCCTTCTATGATAAAATCTAGCAAAAAATTGACGCTAATCCAACTCCTTATGCGATGGATTTGAGCGAAATAAAAATGTCGATCCACCTCCTTCTGTTATGAAATCGAATGAGATGTTGATGTTGATCTACCTCCTTCTATGATAGAATCGAGCAAAAAATTGACGCTGATCCAACTCCTTCTGTGATGGATTTGAGCGAAATAAAAATGTCGATCCACCTCCTTCTGTGATGGAATCGAACGAGATGTGATGCTGATCTACCTCCTTCTATGATGGAATCGAGCAAAAACTTGACGCTGATCCAACTCCTTCTGCGATGGATTTGAGCTAAATAAAAATGTCGATCCACCTCCTTCTGTGATGGAATCGAACGAGATGTCGATGCTGATCTACCTCTTCTGTGATAGAATCGAGCAAAAATTAACGCTGATCCAACTCCTTCTGCGATGGATTTGAGCAAAATAAAAATGTCGATCCACCTTCTTCTGTGATGGAATCGAACGAGATGTCGATGCTGATCTACCTCCTTCTGTGATAGAATCGAGCAAAAAATTGACGCTGGTCCAACTCTTTCTACGATGGATTTCAGCGAAATAAAAATGTCGATCCACCTCCTTCTGTGATGGAATCGAACGAGATGTCGATGCTGATCTACCTCTTCTGTGATAGAATCGAGCAAAAAATTGACGCTGATCAAACTTCTTATGCGATATATTTGAGCGAAATAAAAATATCGATCAACCTCCTTCTGTGATGGAATCGAACAAGACGTCGGTGTTGATCTATATCTTTCTGTGATAGAATCGAGTAAAAAGTTGATGTATCTCTTCATTATGAATTATCTACTGGAAATGTTGATCGGTTTATCTTCTCTTTAAAGATTTTTCAAACCTGAAAAAGATTATCATGTGTCAATAATTTGGTGTTTGAATTACCCGAAAGTATTGACCCAGAGGTCCTCGAATTTTGTTGAGATCTATTTCTTTCAAAGATGAAGACGTGAATCAATTTTTTGCTGAAATCTTCTTCAACATGGAATTGTGCAATGAAACCTCGCTAACTTTGGAATTCTTTTCAAATGTTCAACATCTGGATGAAAATGAATAAGAAATCTGTTTTAAGAGAAACTCTCTCGAGTGAGATAAAATTTCTTGTTTCAAGGGAAAATTGTCTCAAGTGAGATGAAATTGGTTTTAAGAAAAACCGTCTCAAGTGAAATGAAATTGGTTTTAAGAAAAACCATCTCAAGTGAGATACATTTCTTCTTTCAAGGGAAACTGTCTTAAGAGAGACAAAATTTGTTTCAAGGAAAATTGTCTCAAGAGAGACAAAACTCGTTTCAAGGGAAACTGTCTCAAGAGAGAAAAAATTTGTTTCAAGGGAAATGGTCTCAAAGATTTTTGTTTCAAGAGAAACTGTCTCAAGGGAGACAAAATTTGTTTCAAGAGAAACATATTCAAAGATTTTGTGTTTCAAGAGAAATTGTCTCAAGCGAGACAAAATTTGTTTCAAGGGAAACTATCTTAAGCGAGACAAAATCTTATGTTTCGAGAGAAACTATCTCAAGCGAGACAAAATCTTCTGTTTCGAGGGAAACTATCTCAAGCGAGACAAAATCTTGTTTTAAGAAAAATAATCTCAAGTGAGATAAATCCTTCATATTCAATGAGACTATCTCAAGCGAGACAAAATTTGTTTGGAAATGTTGAATCTGAAGATAATTGTTCCCTCTTGTTGATGACGTCTTTGTTATCTTTTAATATCATATTCTCCTGAAAGATCTGTAAAATGTATATGGATGTAACTATCCTGATGATGGATGTTTGATGCAAAGATTCAAATTCATGTATGTGTAATGCATGTTCTTCTTGATTAATAGCAGTGAAAATGTGCTCAAGCAATCTTGGTTCTCTTCTTGATCTGTTCGTCTTCATTATTCTCTCACACCAGGGTGTACCATCGCATTTCTCTGTAAAAATATGCTTTCCTGGCTCCCTAACATTCAAATTCTTTGCCCCAATTTCTGGTTTTGAGCTTCTAGGTCTGAGGGACCCCTGTCAATTTCCAGGCTAAACTCCCCAAGAGGTTGTTCTGTTTGAAAATGTTTTCTTTCTTTTAATTTTCAAAATATGGAAAGTTCATTTAAGAAAACATCATTCTTTTAGGCTTACAATTGAAGCAAATCTCAGAACATGAGTTCAGTAAATATTAAAATAATCAATAGCTCTTTTAATCTTTCAAAGTTATACCTCTTTAACAAGTGTCAAAATTGATGGGTTGGTTTCAAGTTAGCTCCCTTAAGTTTCTAAGGTTTCAGTCATCGAAATGTCTTTTCTTCTTCGGTCCTTGTGAACCTTACGAGATGCCCCTCTTCTTTGGCTTGGCATTTTAATCGGATGCGGACAAAATGACGCAACTAGCATAATCAATCACTAGACTTTCTAGAACACTTTTGTTTCGGTTCTCTGAAATCTTTCATTTGTTCAAGCTTCATAGACTTCCTTTAACAAAGTTAGTGTAGAGAAATCAATCTAAACATAAAATTCCTGCGTTCTTGTGTGAGGTTAACTATAACAAGTGTTCCTTGATTCCCTTAGTCCATTTTCATCGAAACTCATTTTTAGATCAATTTGATTTAATTTGCCATTATCTGGCTAGCTGAATTCAGCTTTATTGTATATACCTTATAATCACCCTCATTGGGCTAGCTGAAGGATTCATGTCATCACAAAGTCTTTGACCTGACAATCACAGTGGAGAAAATACCGAACTGCCAAGTATTCGATCAATGTCATGGTTTGAATGTAATCTATTCATAAAGTCAGGGCTTTTGAGTTGCTCTATAACTAATTGTTTTAGTTGAATAGCTCAGCTCTATAGTAATAATTTACTAGCATTTGAGCATTCAGATTTAGAATTTCTTAAGCTCATCGAGAAGAACTTGTTATAGTCTAGGTGTATTTGATAGTCAGGAAATTCCATATTTAGATCTCAATTCCCAAACAACTGACCTAAACTAAATTCATCCACTCCACCATTCCATTTGTGAAGATTAGGATCATCACTGAACGTCTTCAACAGAAGTGTAGTCTAGGCAGTTTTGCAATGTCATACACAAGAGATGCCCCATGTTGTCCGCTCCTATTCATACCTGAATGTCAAGCCTTTAGTTGTTTCCTCATGAGAGGAGAAAGCTATAGTGGTCCCTGCAAGAGAAGGGTATGGGGTTTGAGTGTATCATCTGTGGTAAGGTCAAGGGTCTTTGTTTTATCAGTTTTCAATATTGTCAATTTATCAAAGATCTATAACTCTGATTCTTAAAAGAACT